TGATACCTATGATAATAGGTTGGTACGAAGGTCTTGTTTAATTTCTTTCTCAAAATTTTTGTTGTTTTTTTTTTCCACAAACCCAATGTGAGAGATTCATTTAGCCTTGCTGTAAAATTTTATTTTTACTTTTTTTTTCACAAACTTTAAGTCCGTCATATAATTTGCCTCGGTATGGAACTCGTTCTCAACGCTTATGCAGCTTTTCGCCTATGTTCAATAAACGGCCGCAAGTCGAAGCGGAAGACTTCTTTTTGTGATCGTCGAATTCTTAGCGGAAACGTTTGAAGGTCTTGACATTTGGAATACGCTGGCTGGGGCAAGACTTCAACCCATCTCCAGGATTTTTTGGCTGGTCTGTTTTGCAAATCATGACAGCGCGTTGCATAGGAGGTAGATATTGTTGCAGTTCCGAAGTTTCAGACGGACTGCGTCGGCCAAGATCTGGAGCTGTGTAGACCTGTATTGGAACTCATCGCGAGGAAATTGCAACAGAGCCAATCCATTAGTAAAGAAAAGTGGTTCTTCAATAAGGATGGCTTTCGGCTTCTTCAGCGTCACGCGTCGCATTACGAACTGCTTAAGTGCCGACATCTTTGATTGGGAAACAGCAGGAGCCCTCTTACTTTGATATTTATTGCGGTGATAGTCCCTGTGATGGAAGCTTCGGGAACCTTGTACCATATGTTGGTAATAAATTTAATGCACGACCTTTTTAGATAATAAACAAGTCGTTACAAGACCTTCGTTCCCTGATGAAATTATAGATTACCTTCGGTGCAAGTTGAATTATGAGTGGAAGGATATCATCACGCGGAGCGAACATAGCATTGGACACTGAAAGCAAAACGAAATCTCTATACGAATTTCAGTGGCTATTCAGATTTTATATACTTGATTTCGTATATCATTATTTATCTGCGGGAAGAATATTAATAAGATTCCTCAACATGTAAGTGGCATGTTGAAAAGATGGAACAGATGCAGTTTGAAAGACTATAGAATCCGATGTAGTTTGCACGGCTTTCGATCTTTTAAAACCTTGGTCCAAATATCATTTGAAGGCAATAGGTTACTGCAAAACTTCTACAAAACAGAAGTAAATTTTTAGTATTTCACAGTTCGTGCACGGTAAGTCAAAAAGAATTTTTTGAATAGCTACCGTAATTAGGCAGAGCCTTCTTTCCTGTTATCACCAATTATTGAAGTCAGCATTGTAAATATTCTAATTC